ACAGTTATTACAGAGGGAGCATATATATGGAACTTACAAAATACGTGGAAAGCTATATTGTCTGATAGTTGAGCAAAAAATTGCATCTCTTTTATTTTGGCTTTGGAAAGAATTTTTATTAGAGAGAGACACAGAGACATCATTTTGTTGTCCCACTTAGTTATGCATTCTTTGGTTGATTCTTTGTGTGTAGCTTGACTGGGGATGAACCTACAACTGGCATATTGGGATGGTGCTCTAATCAGCCGAGCTACCTGGCCAGTGCTCAATTTCTTATTTTCTAAGTTACATTTTTGTCAACATATACTTGATGCTGAAGGATTTCTCTGTGGACCACTCGTTAGTTCATGGATCAAAATATAATCAGTATGTGGTAAAAAGGAGAGGTCTCTGTACCACTGCTGTGAAGACAGGAATCTGTAATATGATTGTATAGGGTGCTCCTCACTTCCTGAAGTTTTATGCTCTAACTCCTCTTACCCGCTCTCTTTCAAAAAGCACATTGCCATAGGATAGGAATGCAAGAAGGTTGATTTGAAATAATAACTTTCTTTTAGAATAAACTTCTTTTAAATTAATGTAACTAAAAAGTACCTGTGAATTATAGCTTGCTCTCTAGGTTGCCTGTTTGTGAAGTTTTAAATAAATGAACACATTAAAATTCTCTCCTCTCAGGATTAAATTTATGCAAAATTTAAGAGATTTTGTTTTTGTGTTTTTAGAGAAGTTTCTTCTTGAATCTAATTCTCTGCATGATATTTTCTTGATGGAGGATTAAACTTTGCTTGCCATTTTGTTCCTTAATTAATTGATAAAGTAATGAGGTTTTACTATTTTGGGTAATTTGATACTTTGAAACAGTCTATCATTGGAACTTTCCAAAGGAGGTGCGCCCACAACTTTTTCGGTGTGCCAGCCTTTAGAGTTGTGTGTTTCAGGGATTTGCTAATCACCAGCTGGCGACTGACTTATAAGGCAGGAAAGACAGGAACTCCTGAATGGTGGCCACTGACTTACCAGTAAGACAGAGTGTGTACTGGCTTCAAGCCTTGTCTATTGGCTTGCAGATCTGGATGCTGGGAAAGACTTGATGTTGTCAAAGAGCCTATGTGCTACCTTTGGCATCTTTGCCAGATGTCATCATGTTGTTCTTAACCCTCACTTTGATTTAGTCACTGAGAACTGCCATGTAGAATATACTACAATTGAATATATCTGTATTCCTGTTTGTCCCTTCTTTTGTCTGTCTATTCATCCAGTCATCCACGCATTCATTATCCAGCCATCCACATAGCCATTGGTCTATCCATCCACCTAATATGGTATTTAAGCTGTCAATGTATGGGCTGGAAGTATGGGCTGGACTTAACCTCTGAAAGCATTGCTTAGAACTGAGGTTGGCAAACCTTTCCTGTAAAGGGATAGACAGTAATATTTTAGACTTGCAGGCCATGCCATCTCTTGCAACTGCTCAGCTCTGCTGTTGTAGGGCAAACAGCCACAGACAATATGTAAATAAATGTGTATGGCTGTGTTTTATTGGAAAACATTGTTTACAAAAAAGTACAAGCTATGGCAGCCGTGGGCAAACTACGGCCTGCGGGCTGGATTCGGCCCGTTTGAAATGAATAAAACTAAAAAAAAAAAAAAAGACCGTACCCTTTTATGTAATGATGTTTATTTTGAATTTATTAGTTCACACAAACACTCCATCCATGCTTTTGTCCCAGCCCTCCAGTCCAGTTTAAGAACCCATTGTGGCCCTTGAGTCAAAAAGTTTGCCCACCCCTGTGCTATGGGATGCCCACCCTTGTTGTAGAGAGTGGAAGTATCTGACTCAGCATAATTTGTGTGCGATACAAAAACTTTAAAATATGCCTCTAATGCTTATACTTTTCTGACATAGATTATCTCATAGGATGGTTAGCTTAACTGTCATCTATTTTGAGGTTTACCTACAAAAGTTGTTTTATAGGTTTTACCTTTTGTTATTTTATTTAAACACTAGAGGCCTGGTGCACGGATTCGTGCACCAGCAGGGTCCCTCGGCATGGCCTGTGGGGATAGGGCCCAAACCAGCAGTCCAATGCCGCCTACGGCTCCTGCTCATCCTAGCCCCACTGCGCCTGCCGCTGCCACTTGGTAGGCTTGCTGCCTCTCTGCTACAGTCTCTGCCTGTCCTGGGTGATACTTGTACACCCATGACTGACAAGTGGCTGCGGGCTTGGACCCAGTCAGTACCAATGCCAGTCCTGATCTAGATAGGGAGGGGTGTGCAGGGGGAGTGTTTATGGGAGAGGTTCGCGCCACCACAGTGGTGCTCGCCAGCCATGAGCCTGGCATCTGGCACCCATTGGTCAGCTGAGCGGCACTCCCGCTGTGGGAGCGCCCTGACTACCAGTTGGCCAGTCGAACGTTCACTTAGGCTTTTATATATGTAGACTAGGGGCCTAGTGCATGAATTTGTGAACCTTGAAAGGGACTGTAGGCCATGAGGTTGCGGTGGGCACAGGGGCAGGTCTTGGCCCATCCTTCGCGCCTCTGCCTGACCCTTCCTGTCGTGGCCCCTGGTCTCCTATCTGCCAGCAGCTCCGCTCCCGCCGCCACTGCCACCACTTCCACATGCTGATGGTGCTGGCCCCGCTCACACCCGCTGACAGCGTGGAGTGAGTGGTGCCGGTGCCAGCAGCAGGTGTGAGTGGGGCTGATGCTGTCAGCGGGTGTGAGTGGGGCTGGTGCTGTCAGCGGGTGTGAGTGGCGGCGGCTGCCCTGATCACCCCTCTGGAGCAGGGGGAGGTGGAGAAGCCCTCAGGGGCAATTGGGGCTGGCAGCTACCCCACGCACCCGCTGATGGTGCCTAGTGATTGGGGCCAGTGCCAGGTGCCGGCAGTGGGTGCGAGTGGCAGTTCCGCGCTGGCTGTGGGTGCAAGCGGGACCGGCACCAACAGCAGGTGTGAATGTTGGGCGGGACCACGATGCGCGGGAGCAAAGAATTCTCAGTAACCACCAGAGGCTCGTCCCAATGACAGCAACTGTTGCCCTGCCTTGGTCTGGTGCCCCCGCTCACCTGCTCCACTTTCCCGCCGCAGCCAACGCCTGCCATGTTCCACACTCTGCCACTTGCTGCTGAAGCTTAACATGTTCTGCGTGCCCCCTAGTGGTCAGTGCACATCATAGTGACCGGTTGTCTGGTTGTTCGGTTGTTCCCCCTTTTGGTCTATTTGCATATTAGCCTTTTATTATATTGGATATTGGTGATTAAAAAAATATGGTCTCTTTCTAGCATTGGTTATAGAAATGTCATTGGATTGAAAATATACAAAAATACAAGGAATAAAATTTTCTGCCACATCACTGATAACAGCACCATTGAATTGGATAGGTTTTACTTATAATATGACTTTTAAAAAAACCTTTATTTTTGACCTGAAAATATGGTGAAGTTATATTGCTAAGTGGGGAAAAAAGGGAGATTATAGAAGGGTTCTTAACATGTAGAAGAGTTCTTAACAGCATGTACGATGTGATTCTGTGAAAAGAAAAACATTACAGATGTCTTTATATGTGCCTGAGAACCTGGCTTAGAGGCTGTATATGTATCTAGAAGCAATGCCCCCGATTCCACTGCATAATTGGCTCTGCAAATATCCCCCAGCAATTGTCAGTGACCATGGAACTGCAGTCTGAATCATGAATACCTCTGAGCCTGGATAACAGGTCTGCCTCCACTGTTACTAGTACTCTGGAATAGATTCTGGACACTTGCTGTTCCTGTGTGTTATCAGTTTCCAATTCAGAGTTTGGCATGGGTGCATTTGATTGGCAGAGCCCGTTTTGTGCCCTAGCCACAAGAGAAGCTGAGAAACTGAATACATGGACTTCACTTTTGTCGTGGGGAAAGGGTCCTACCTCATAAGATGGGGCATTTCCCAAATTGTAGCAATAGGATTAAGAAACCTGAATGCCACAGAAAAAAAGCTGTCCACTGCAGATATCCAGGAAATTGTTGGCATTGATTACTTTTACCCAATGGATTTGGAAGGGCTAACTGGTTGCAGAGAGAACTTTTTACTTTATTCTGTAGTGCTCCTTGAATAAAAAAAAAATATGTAGCAATGATAATATAACCATGGGGAAAAATGAACAAAAGAGAGCTTTTTCCACCCCCCCCGCCCAAGTTCCACTGTAATGCTCTCACATAGCAATTCAGGAAGGCCTCCAAATATAATTGGGTAATTCTGTTAACTTATTACTTAATTTAATTTTAAGAAATTTGCCTTATGATTTCCTCACGAATTCAGTCAACTCTCTATTGCTTGTTCTTGGTCGGGCAGAGAAATCATTAAATGGTTTTCCTGCGATGCCAGTGGCTATTCGTTTTGGCCTGGTGGAGCTGATTCAGTTTCTCTCTTTGAGTATCACAGGATTCAGTCTTGAAAATTAAGGTGTTGTCAGGTTGACAAAGTGTTCATAATTGCAAAGTGTAAAAATAAAATATTGGGCCCTGCTATGTGGTTTTATCCCTTCCCCAAAACTTTTATAAATTGGCTCCTTGATAGAACCTAACTCTGTCCAATAAAGTTTTAGCAGATATATTAAAAAAAAATTAGCTTTATTGTTCAGAACAGTTTTAGATTTATAAAAAAAATATATGAAGGTAGTACACCCAGTTTTCCATGATACTAACATCTTACATTAGTATGTTACAGTTTGATACATTATTATTGTGTAAAGCCTACACTTTATTGTCTTAGTTTTTACCTAACATGCTTTTTCTGTTCCAGGAGAGCTGATATATTTCATACATTTATATTGTATTTTTCATCTGTATAGTCATATCATGAAGCTGTATGGTAAATGCCATTTCTGTTACAAGTAACCTGACATTTATGGAAGAATAAATAAAGCTTTGCCACAATGAGTTTCTTATATTCTTTTATGTACAAATGTCACACAAGAGAAACTAATTAACCTTTCATTTTCCCCCATTTCATATTCAGTGGAACAGGTTCCTGTGGAACCATACAACATCCCCCTGTCCCAGGCCGAGGTCATTCAGGAAGGGAGTGATGTTACTCTAGTTGCCTGGGGCACTCAGGTGAGTAATACTTATACCAACTGATAAGGTTCATGTGCTCGGAAGCGCTTACTTTTAATCCTGATACTAAGAAGAATTAAAAACAATGCTTTCCTTATGTCAAATTTGACTTGTTGCTGGTACTGATTTTTGATGGAAGGTCAGGTGCTTATTCAGTCATTAAAATATATATGCATACTAGAGGCCCGGTGCACGAATTCATGCACCAGTGGGGTCCCTTGACCTGGCCTGTGGGATCGGGCCGAAACCGGCTCTCTGACATCTCCCGAGGGGTCCTGGATTGCAAGAGGGTTCAGGCCAGGCAGAGGGACTCCACCGGAGCACGATCATGGCCAGGGAGAGATGGGGGAGGTTGGCCAGCTGGAGAAGGACCCCTGGAGGGCTCCAGGTGTGTCCAGCCCATCTGGCTCAGTCCTGATCAGCCAGATCCCAGCAGCAAGCTAACCTACCGGTCGGAAAGTCTGCCCCCTGGTGGTCAGTGCACATCATAGCGACTGGTTGACCAGTTGACTGTCTGCCCCCTGGTGGTCAGTGCACGACATAGTGGTTGAGTGGCCTTAGCATATCATTAGCATATTACACTTTGATTGGTTGAACGGACGACTGTTAGCATATTAGGCTTTTATTATATAGGATTGTGAAGCCATTAAAAATAGGTTGAATATATAAAAATGTATTAATTAAAACACTTGTTTCTTTTGAAGTACATTTTACCTATTCACTACTTGTTGTTACACTTTACGATTTTCTTTTTCATCTCATCTGCTGCCATCTATCATGGTTACTTTGCTGACCATTTGGACCATTGACTGGTCCAGCCTCAGAATTCCATATTGTTCTCTTTTCCAGTAAACCCCACCATAATCTGTACCCACTTTCCCCAGTGCTTGTTGTCTCATTGCTCTGTCTCCAAGCATTTAAGCTCAGAGCTCTTTCTCTGGTCGTAGACATCTCTCTCGTACACTTCTTAATCACCATTTATAGGAGTGCTCAGTTTTTCTTTTTTCTGTGTAAAGTAAATATTTGTTTGTTTTAGACTTTAATATGGTAGTATAAAGAAGATAATGCAAATCATTTGTAGTATCACAACCTCCTCCTTTCTTCTTCATTTGATTTTTGGCTTGGATAGCTACAGTCCTCATGATTTCTTGCTTCCAGTGGGAACCCTTTTTATCCACATCCCTGTCACTCTCAACATGTGTTCTTCTCTCTCTACCTCTCTCTTTTTTTAAAAAAAATGTTTTTTTATTGATCAGAAAGGAAGGGAGAGTGGGAGAGAGATGGAAACATCAATGATGAGAGAGAAACATTGATTGGCTGCCATGACAGAGAATCATTGATTGGCTGCCTACTGCATGCCCTCTTCTGGGGATCGAGCCTCCAACCTGGGCATGTGCCCTGAGCTGGAATCAAACCATGATCTCCTGGTTCACAGTTTGATGCTCAACCACTGAGCCACACCTGCCAGGCCTTGCCTCCCTTTTAAATAGGGAAATTAGGATGTATTAGATAGTAACTTCCTTATTTGTTTTCCCTTTACACCTATCACTTCTTTCAGTGCTTTCCTGTTTTCTTTGTCTTCAAAGCGGGGCAGGGGGGCGGGGGGCGGTGGTATCTGTCATAGCTACTTCTCCAAAGCTGTTTCAGATTATATTCCTTTTTTTTTTTTTTAGTACTGTGATAGATCAATTGGTCCCTCTCTCTCCTCATCTTCAGTTTCTTCTTTCCATGTCCATTTTATTAAAAAGGTGTATATCTCTTCATTATCTAAAAAATACATTTTTTCATCCTATTTTTCTTTTCAGTACTAGTATAGCTTCCTCTTTTCTTTGATTACTAATCTTGAACAATTTCTCCCCAAGTATTTTACTTGCTAACTTCCTTATGATTTTTCACCTTATGAACTCTGTTGCCACTAAATCACTAAAACTATTTCTGCTAACATTACTAACCTTCTAATTGTTAAATCTAACTCTATCCCATATTTCTATGGTATATGGCACTTGCTACTCTCCTATTTAGCTTCTTGAATACACAGTCTCCTTATTTTCTTCTGTTTCTTTCTATGTTTTATTTTGTTGTTGTTTTTGTTTTTGAGCTCCTTTCACCTGTCTTCCCTTTACTTGTTGGTCATCCGCAGGGTTCCATGATTCTGCTTTTGACTGTTCCCTTTAAATGCTCTCCCCAGAAACTCCACTGACTCCTGTGACTTGACCTCTGTGGCTGAGTCTTTGGAACTGGTGTCTCTAGTAATGACTTCTCTCACTTTCTTTAGGAACCTCTTTCCACCTGTTTTCTAGACATTTGTACTTTATTATTTTGGTGGAATATTGAGTTCAACATGTCTAGAACAAATTTATTAATTCTCCGTGAAGATCAATTCCTCCGACTTTAAATAGTACTTCTATTAATGATGTCAGAACTCAACCAATGCTTTAGGCCTGAATTTCTGTATTCATTCTCTACATATTTTTCTCCTTATTTCAGGTTCATGTGATCCGAGAGGTGGCTTCCATGGCTCAAGAAAAGCTTGGAGTGTCTTGTGAAGTCATTGATCTGAGGACTATACTACCTTGGGATGTGGATACAGTTTGCAAGGTGAGACTATAGAATCTCATTTCCTTAAAATCTTGGGCAAAATTTGTTGAATATTTGCAAAGAATTGTTTTGAAATTTTGAGCATTGTGAGCATTTTGGACTGATTTTAAATTTTAAAAATTTATACCATGAAAGAAATGTATGCTATATAATAAGCCAAACACTCAAGAAAACAAATTACTTACTTAGGTGTTTTTCTTCCCATAGTTCTCTACGTTGATTTGAAAATACTGTATAACTGTGTCCTTCATAGGACCAGCTTGGGTTGAATTGTGTGAGTAATGGAGTCGTGTAAATAAACACAGGAAGGTCATCTGAGTTTTTAACTTCTGGTTACTTATAATTTAATAAGCTAGATTTAATATAGTCAGAAATAGTTTGGCTAAATTGTCTTTTGTCTCTTCTCTAAAAGAAATGGAGATGGATTATTTAAAAAAACTAACTCTTTATATAGCCTTAATACTATGGATCACAGTTTGAATGTTACGTTGTGGTATTCTGGCTGCTCTAATCTATAGTTTTCTATCATCTAAGCTTCCTCTTAAACTTTGGCCTGATTAGATTGATCTTGTTGCTTATTATTCATACGATTCACATAGTCCATTCTCAAGGGTACAGCTTAGTTCTCATTTACTGGCTGTAACCAATATCATCTACTCCTTTATTGGTATATAAGTAAGGTTAAGCTCTTTTTTGTGATGGTTTTATCTACTAAAGCTTGGGTAACATTGCATGTGTTCTTCTTGATTTATTGCTATAGCAAATAAGTCCTATGACCTTGGGGTATTTTACATTTACTATTTTAAAGAACTTTGGCATTATCATAGCTTTACAGGCTGTTTCATAGGTTAGTTACATGAAAATAATCTGCAGTTACTCCTGCTATAAAAGTATAGATAGCATAGAGTGGATTGATTTATTTATTTATTCATTGATTGATTGTTAATCCTCACATGAGGATATTTTTCCATTGATGTTTAGAGAGAATGGAAGGAAGGGGGAGAGACAGAGAGAGGGAAACATAGATGTGAAAGAGACACATCGATTGGTTGCTCTTCCTCACGGGCCAGAGATCGAGCCTGCAACCAAGGTACATGCCCTTGCTTAGAATTGAACCCAGGACCCTTCAGTCCATGAGTGGACACTCTATCCACTGAGCCAAACTGGTTAGGGTGTATACAGTGTTTTTAGGTGAAGATTGTGATGCGTGTATAAGAACTTTATATAGAAAAGTCACAAAACATTACTTAGTGAGGATAAAGAAAATCCAAACTAACTGAACCACATACCATGTTAATGATTGTAAAGCCAAGAATAGCTAACACAATTTTGAAGAATAAAGGCAGAGGATGTGATTATTAGGTTTCAAAATGTTTTATAAAGCTATAGTAATCATAATTTGTATTAGTGTAAAGACAGACAAATAGACCAATGGAACAGAATAAAAAAGTCCATAAACAGACTGTTGTGTCATCTAATTCAGGAAAAAGGTAAAATTGCATTCAGAGTGGAAAAGGTGGTCTTTTTAATAAATGATGCTGGTTTAGTTAGGTACCATGGAAAGTATCACACAAATGTCAATTCCAGTTGGAATTCCAGTTTTGTCAAAGAAAAGAAATGATGAAGCTCTTGGGAAAAAGCATAGGTGAATATCTCTATGGCCTTGTGCATGCAAAGATTTCAGAGAGGAAGAGAGAGGGAGAGAGAGATAGAAACATCAATGATGACAGAGAATCATTGACCCCCTGCCTCCTGCACTTCCCCTACTGGGGATTGAGCCTGCAAACTGGGCATGTGCCCTTGACCCTTCAGTCTGCAGTCTGATGCTCCATCTACAGAGCTATGACAAAGATCTTATATAATAAAAGGCTAATATGCAAATTCATCGACCAGCGGAATGACTGATCGCTATGATGTGCACTGACCACCAGGGGGCAAATGCTCAATACAGGAGCTGCCCCTTGGTGGTCAGTGCACTCCCACAAGGGAAGCACCGCTGAGTCCGAAGCCAGGCTCATGGCTGGGAGCGCAGCAGCACTGGCGGGAGCCTCTCCTGCCTCAGTGGCAGCGCTAAGGACCCCTTCGGGGATGTCGGCCTGTGGGGAGCAGGCCTAGGCCAGCAGGCGGACATTCCCCCAGGGGTCCTGGATTATGAGAGGGCACAGGCCAGGCTGAGGGACTCCCTGCCCCCTGTGAACAAATGTCGTGCACCGGGCCTCTAGTTTCTTAAATAAAACAAAACAAAAGAAAAAGTCAGGAACACTGACATTTTTAAAAGGATGATAAAATTTGACTTTATTAAAATTTTAAACATGTATTCTTCAAGAAGCCCCAGTAAAAGAGTTAAATAGATAACCCACAGATTTGAGGAAACTCATCAAAATTTATACTTAGAAATATAAAATACTCTTACAATTAAAAATAAAAAGGACATCCCAATAGAATTATGAACAAAAGTCTAGAAAAGGCACTTCAAAAAAGGAAGATATTGAAATGGCTAATAAAAATATGAAAAAATTTTTTAGTTTTTTTAGTCATCAGGACATACAAATTAAAACCACAGTGTGATATCACTAAAGACATCATTTTGGCTAGAATGAAAAATAGACGAATACCAAGTACTGCTGAGGATGTAGATCAACACATCTCTCATGTACTACTGTTGGAAATATAAATTGGTACAACCATTTAAAAAATTGTTGGTAAGTGAAGCTACCTATGGAAAATAAGAACTTGATTTTGGCAGTAGGATGACAGGCTGTGAAAGAAATTCAGGATTTCAAGAGTCATGCAACTTAGAATCAACTACATACAACGCTGCAAAAAAACAAACAAACAAAACAAAAACCAAAACAGTTTACAAGATGATCTTCACGTGTTTATAGAGAAAATTGATACAGTTTTGACGTGCTTACACTTTAATTGAAGATTAAATTAGGCTAATTACTGAAATAAATAAGAGTTTGCCTTTCCACCTTGGAGTCCTTGTTTTCTTTCTTTCTCTCAGGCTCTGCCTTTCCACATTCAATTACAAAACAGATTCTCAGGCGTTGCATACACAGTATGTCCAGAATCAGGCCTCTTCCACTGCTATTACCTCTGATCCTGGTCCAAATCACTTGCCTTTTCACCTGGGTTGCGGCCAGAGCCTCCTATCTACTGTCTGCACTTCTAACCTTTCAGTGCCAGAGGCAGAGTTGATCCTTTCAAAAGTGGATCAACATCAGATCTCTTCTAGTCTTGAAAGGCCTCAATGGTTTCCCATTAAACCCAGTGGGAAAGTCAAATTTCTACAGGGGTTCACCTGACCTCACCATATTTCACAGCCCACCATCCACCCTTCAGGAAGTGCTCTTGGTTGACTCTGTTCGGTCACTGCTCAAATACCATTTTGCCATTGAGGCATTCCCTGATCAGTTTATTTATATGGAATCCCACCCCTCTTACTGGGACCCAGTTTTGCTTCTTTCTTTTTCTCTAGAGAGATGAACACCATCTATCATAGTATGTTATTATTTATATTGTTGATCTTTCTTCCCCTATTACAGTGATGGCGAACCTATGACACGCGTGTCAGAGGTGACATGCAAACTCATTTTTTTGTTTGATTTTTCTTTGTTAAATGGCATTTAAATATATAAAATAAATATCAAAAATATAAATCTTTGTTTCACTATGGTTGCAAATATCAAAAAATTTCTATATGTGACACGGCACCAGAGTTAAGTTAGGGTTTTCAAAATGCTGACACGCCGAGCTCAAAAGGTTCGCCATCACTGTCCTATTAGAAGATGAGTTCTATGAGGGCAGGGATTTTTGTCTTTTGGATCACTTCTGAATTCTCAGTATCTGAAACAATGCTGAAAAATTATTTTGAATATCAACAAGAGAAAAGCTTGAGAATAGGTTATGAAAACTTATAATATTAAAATGTTTCGGAGGTTTTTAAATTCTTGGTACTTATACAAAGGTTTAAAAAGTAACTTTAGAATATTGCTCTGAATAAATCCCCTAATGTATTCTAAGTTGAAACATTTAAAAGTTTTTTTAGTTTGATCTTATGTTATTATTTTGCTTAAGTTGTCATTTTTCATAATGGTATGTAAAATTTGAATTTTCATTAGAATAGGGCCAATTTATCTATTCTAAAAGGCAAAGTGAAATTGACTACAGTAAACCTCAGCTATCTATATTTTTTTAGAAGTTCTTCTGATAATTCCATTTTCTGCATAGTGAGAGTTACTATTCTTGTGTACAGCTTTAAATACTTCTTAACCTTTTGGATGTCAGTATTTCCAGAACCTTTTGCATATACCAGTAATTTTATCTTTTAAAAATAATTAATCCAAACGAACATGGATTGTTATACTGTAGTAAGACATTTACATTTACTTCTTTGGTACATTTCTGTGCATAATTTTTGTTGTTTTAAGCATTTTTAAATTTAAATGTTACCTTACTTCTTGCTGTCACCTTGCAAGCTGTGCATGGAATCTAGATGGCCAGCCTTTATAACTGAGACACCTACATTGGCCAACGAGGGCCTGTAATATTTTCTTATGAATCAAGAACAAATGCTTTACCCTTCAAACCTATGATAACAATTTGAGCTTTCCAGAACCTTTCTCCTCTCATTTCCTTGTCTGCAGTGCAGGTGGGCCATTGTCATGGAATTTAGAGCTGGAAGAAGGCAGCCTGGGCCTGTTCCTTTGGCCTTCTTGTTGGTCCCAGGAGTGACCTGTGACTTTTTCATCCGTCACTTTTATGTCGTGCTTCTTATCAGGATTTTTATCTGTTTCAATATCTGTGGTACAAGATACTGTCGCAAAGCTCCTTACACATGAGTAATCTATTTCGTTTGAGGTACATGGGAGGTGTTTTTTTTCTCTTTTCAATTTTTAAACAAAGTTAGGAAATGTCATGGAAAGGATCTTCTTTCTACTCCCTCCACTCTTCTCTCCACCTTGCCCTCTTGTTTCCCTTCTTTCTCTTTTAAACCTAAGTTATGTTACAAAAGAGCTGTGCCC